TTGTGTTCTACATTAAACTATTTATAGTTTAAGGGCCTAGTTAGAAATGTTGCCTTAGACTAGGAATAGTTAAGAGTTGTTATGAAATGATTTGGCCTTAGATTAAGAATGATTTAAGAGCATTATTGATATATTGAATATCAAATGACTTGGAATAAAATATGGAAAATATTATGAATGTTTGAACTATATATTGTGTGCATGATATCAAATGGTCGATTATGAATTGAGATTCAATTAATGTGGATGTTCGACGCTTTAGATATGCTTACTTAGCTTCACCGCTGAGCGTGTAGTGTGTTTTATTTGCTACACGCAGGTAAACAGAAAGATTAATGTGATCCTGGCGGCAGATGGGGCGAGATTGTCGGGATGGATGTGACAAGTTTTGAAATGATTTATGATATGTCAATATTAAATTCGCTTCCGCAATATTGTTAAATACTCCGTACTGTATATGTTATGAAAAATATTATTGAGATTAATAAAGTGTGTTTGAAAAGTTTTAAATTTTACGATTACGAAGTTAAATACTTTAGTCCGGATGGGGCTGCAGACCTGGGCGGCTTAGGGTGTCACAATTTGGTATCAGAGCAAATGGTTTTAAAATCGATCTTCGGATCAAAAATTTGAATTAAAAAAAAATATTGTCAATCACATGCACAACTCTCGTGTCCCTCTGCTCCAGGAAAAAGATATGAGAATTTACTTGGTAAATAATGACTCTATTAGAATTCTCATTAAATAACAATTGATTAGTACTGAAACTGTATCGAGCGTAGACTCTAGTTGAACTTTTGTACTCAGTGTAGAGACGAAAGAATAAACGATATGTTTATAATCTCCTGATACGTTATCAACGTACATTTCGCATCGCAAATGACGAAACTGGTCTGCATCGCAAAATTGTACGAAAGTGAGACGACTATGAAGAAACGATAAATGTTGAGAAACATCTGTGAAGCTGATGTCAAAGATCCTCATGTGGACTCAAGATGATCTAATCGCTGATTCAAACATGAACGTGTAGAAAAACAATAAACTCTGTTACCTAAAGTATCTGATACTATTGTTTGACTCATTAGGACACATTATGCGATTACTTAATGTGAATCGAAATCGTTCATTAAGCGACAATTGTTTGTAAAACATCGTTGAAGTACCATACAAGGAAATCGACATTATCCTTAGTATGCATTAACGGACTGAACGCCGTTGCTGTTGTCAACTTATGATGAAGAATTCCTCAACTGAAGACCAATGATGGTAACCTTATAGAGGTGAAAGCAAAGCTGATTTCTAAACCAACCAAGTTCATCTCGAATATATATATGCGAAAACATCTCAAGTGTGAAGTCTATTCGTGCGATACCCAAAAAGAAAAATCTGAACTGAAGGAACGTACCAAAAGTATGTCACCTCTCTGATATGAACTTCCTTATATTTCACCGTTCAAAACTCTGTCAATCTTGATCCTCGAGAGGGCCAATATTTGTAACTCTGTATTGAATATGTTTCCGTCGAAACTAAAAACTCAACTATGAAGATTGCCTGACAAGGAATCATCTGACAAAGTGTTTTCTCTAACGGAGAGTATCTGTTTTGTTCATACGTGAATAAGGAAGAATCAATGAGACTCTATATTAACTACTGTTAGTTGAACAATTCGTTATCCTTTACTTCATATCATGACTTATTTGATCAGCTTAGAGGATCCATTGTATTCTCTAAGATTGACTTACGGTCAAGATACTATCACATCTCTGTTAAGAATGGACAAACTGACGATCGAGAATCGCTACCCTTTACTACGTATAGATGATTCGTTCGAAGAACCTGTTTGTTAAAAGCTATAGACATCTCGAACATGTTGAATGAACTGATTTAGTTGTTTATCGTCAAAAACGTCAATGTAATCTGAATTGACTAAGTGAAACATAGTGATGCTGACTAGACAAATCGATCGACTCATTTGACGTGAATAAGTGACGCCAACAGTGAAAGATTGAAGAACGAAGAAAATGTAGCTCGCATATGACTAACCATTGATGTTTATGGATAATATTATTTAAACACAAAATACAACTTGGATTACGTGAAGAAAGTTATAAATGCAATTCCAAGTCTAGTCTTCCAGGATTCACAAACTCATCGTAACTAACCCC